GGCGGAGCTGGAAATGGTCTGGTCGGGATCGTGAGGGATCTATACGACGGGGCTTCGGGAACTACGGCGGCCATTGATATTAGGTCAGGCATTAAACAAGGTTGCCCGCTTAGTGGCCTACTATTCATTCTGGCCATTGACCCTGTGGTCACGGCCATTCAGGAAGAAGCTGAACTCCACCATGTCCTGGCGTTTGCAGACGATTTGTGACTCATCGAAGACTCACCGGAGGCATTGCAACGATCGATAGACGCCACACGCAACGACTAGGATCAATTGGTCTGCAGCTGAATGCGGCCAAGTGTGCGTCGCTACATTTGTCCGGCTGTACGCCTGTTGGGGTGCGGGGGACCAGTTTCCAAGTAGATGGTGTCCCGATGAAGCTTTTGAAGGAAGGCGAGGCAGCCACATTTTTAGTAGCCCAAGTAGGCTTTAACATCGTCCCTCGAATGGCCTCCCTGGCTAAATAATAAATAATAAATAATAAACAAAATAACAGACATTGGTCTGAAGATAGCACGGAGTAAGCTGGCCCTGTGGCAACGGATTGACACCCTCAAAACTTTCTTCTACCCATCTACTATCCACATGCAACGAATGGGAACTTTTTCAAAGTCCGACTGCGCCACGATAGATCGGATTCTCCGGCCAGAATTAAAAAAGACCTTCTATCTTCCGCAGAAGGCCTCCGGAGAATTCCTCTACGGCTCGTCAAAACGTGGTGGATGCGGCATACGGCTGCTCGCGGAAGACAGTGACATTGCAGCAGTCGATAGCAGTTTTAAACTGCTCACGTCACCGGACCTTCGCTTAGCATCAGACACGGCAGCCCATGCAAAGGAGACAACTTGGAGGCGTCTACGGAAAAACGCAGACGCGGCTGAAGTAGGCCTTTACCTGTCAGGAGAAGAAAACGGTATATTCCGTGAAACACGTGGATATGGTGGTGTGGCCAATGTTTGGTCAAGAGCACGTAATGCATCAAAACGCCTGGGCGTCTCTTGGACTGTGGATGGTGACCATACAGCCATTACCTATGACGGGGTGGTTCTACGGCGAAAACAACGTCGAGAGGTAATGAGAATTATCCGTAAATCAATCCGTCTAAAGAGGTCTGAGACCCTTACTGCGAAACCGGACCAAGGCAGGGCCATGGAATGCGTGGCAGCGGACTTGGCGTCTACACATTTTATCAAGTCAGGGGATTTCACGCGGTTCGCGGACTGGAGGTTTATCCACAGGGCGAGGCTGAACTTGGTGCCGCTGAACGGCTCCTCGTCATGGAGGACTGGTGACCGTAGGTGTCGGAGATGTGGGTACACAACAGAAAGCCTATCCCACGTCGTCGATCACTATATGCGATATACCACGCTCTACATGGCCAGGCACAATGCTAATTTGGCTAGGATCAAAAAAGCAGCCGGGACGTGGTTCCAGGTGATCGCCGAGAATACAACTATTGG